ATTTGATGCGCACTCTTTTACTGCGCATCATGTGCACAAATTGCACATGATTTTTATTTCAGATTTTACACACTGGTCTCGATACATGATGGTTTATTTGATGACAATGACCTATGTGTTAAAGAATGAAATCATAATAACGATCATCTATATATATCTTCAAATCGGCTAACTTCTGTATTTCTTTCCTTTATTTGTATGTACTTGATAAGCCGTAAAGAGGAATTTTTAGAAGAAGACCTATATGAATTTGAGGTAAATGATAATGAAATATTTTTCATAAATTATATAATTTTATTAAATATTATACTTATTTTGATAGGATTTGATCATAACGTGAAGTTATGAATTTGTAAATATATTTTCTCGATTTAATCCAAGTGGATTGCGTTTACCAAAACTACATTCTTAGAGATATCATATGATTTCTGCTATTTGTCGATTTGGAGCAATCAATAGATTCACAACAGAAACTTATGAGACTTTACATAAGTTTTACATCAAGAACCCATATCGGAAAAGTAACAAGAAGGAGGTTATGGGTCAAATCTTAAATAAGGTAATATTTTTATCAGTTTTGTACTTGATTATTTATTATTGATTTAATACTTTAATTATATTACTATTAATAAATCACTTAACTTAGATTTGTCAAAAAGTATTAATAGAGACCATAGATCATACTAAGATAAGAAAGGGTAGAACATTGTCAGGTAAACTTTGGGATTTATATCTATTATCACTTAAAAAACATTTGTGAGTTTTCCAACGTTTAGAAACTATGGATTCTTTGCAAGTCGAAGGAGTCAAAAATCTACTCTCAACTCTTGATACTTTTCTGGATAATACATCTATAATATCTCTTAATAATGATGAAAGTTTTGTGCGGTTATATAAATGTACAGTGCTGCAATCGATAGACATTATATGTGCTGATTCGTCTTACAATAATGCTCTATAGTTCAGCGATGTTGCTATTGTGATAGACGCAGAGGAAGCTATTAATTATACTACAAATCAAGGGACATGTTTCGGAAAGGCAATTATGCAATTATTATTATTGTATTTAAATTTTTTATTTTTATTGTAAAGTGAC